TGAATTATCTGGGTGGACTCAATGTGACCACAAAGCTTCTTAAAGAGAAATGGGGAGGCAGAGAGTGTGAGTCAAAGAAGGAAGTTTGTTGATAGAAGCAGAGGTTCCAGTGATGCAATTGCTGGCTTTGCCGATGGAAGGGGACCATGAGTCAAGGAATGTGGGGAGCCTTTGTGTTATGAACTGAATGTTTGATCCCCTTCAAATTCATATGTTGAAACTCTAATCCCCTATATGCTGGTATTTGGAGATGGGGCCTTTGGGAGGTAATCAGAATTAGATTATGTCGTACGAGTAGGGGCCTCTTAATGGAATTAATGCCCTCACAAAAAGATAAGGAACAAACTTCAGTCTCTCTCTGTCTCTCCAAGCACACACCAAAAACAAGCTATATGAGGACATAACCAGGAAGAGACCCCTTACCAATAACCCAACCATGCTAGAACCTAATCTCAGACTTCCAGCCTCCAGAACTGCGAGGCATAAATGTTTGTTCTTTAAGTCACCTGTCTATGGTAATGTCATAGCAGTCTGAACTGGCTAAGACATTCTAGAAGCCTTCAAACAAACGCAATCTCATTGACATCTTGATTCTAGCCCAAAAAAGCCCATATCAGAGTCTGACCTGTAGAACCATAAAATAATAAATTTATGGGGTTTTTTTCCCCCGAGAAAGATTAGCCCTGAGCCGACATCTGCCAATCCTCCTCTTTTTCCTGAGGAAGATTGGCCTGTGCTAACATCCATGACCATCTTCCTCTACTTTATATGTAGGACACCTGCCACAGCATGGCTTGCCACTCGGTGCCATGTTGGCACCTGGGATTCGAACCAGTGAACCCCGGGCCAATGAAGCGGAACGTGTGCACTTCACCACTGGGTTGGCCCTAAATTTCTGTGTTTTGAAGTCAGCAGCTTCGTTGTACTTTCTTACAGCATCAGTAGGAAAGTATTACAATGACACAAGTAAATGAAATAGAAACTGCTAACTGCAAGTGGGCGACTGCTATAACAAAAACCTAAAACTTCTGCCTTCGCTTTGTGACTGGGGAGGAGACGGGGGATTGAATGTAGGAAAGGAGACTTGATAAAGTCCTCTAGGACAGTAAAGAAATTGCTATTCGAGACCGAAGACAGAAAAAAATCGTATTTTGTAGGGTCAGAACAATTAGGGAAATTATTGTGTCTGATAAACTGAAAAACAGAAAATGTAACAAATGAGTTTGTGAATCTAAGGAGATCTCCAAGCAGCATATTGAAAGTGGTAATTGTCTTTATTTCTTCTCAGGTGTGATAAGGTGCTACAAGAGAGAGATGCACTAACAAGATATATGCTCAAATTTGAAGAAGAATTTAGGGGAATTATTTTTTACCCAAAACTTGTTCTCTCATTCCCACACTTTCCAGGTGTCAAAAGTTTCTCAAAGTGGTAAATGGCATAAGGATCAGTATCAGAGTATTGCTTGTAAAACGTTGTCCTAAGATTAAAAATCAGACCAAGAGTGTCCTTTGTTTAGAGAATATAGAAACTTAAGGAAGTGCCTTGTAGATTTTCTTAATTGGACAAATTGGCTTCTAAGAATCTTAAGGGCATTATTCAATAGCATCTCATTTTGCAGCCCAATATACAGAAGGGACTATCTTGAAGAGATTTGAGAGTGTGGATTTTGTCTAATGTGGTGACCCTAATTTGATACATAAAAAACTCACACTGATTTTAAAAGAGGTTGTATCAATTTGAACTTAAAAGGACAGAAAGTTTTAATGGAATTAGAATTCTGGGTACTAAATACATCTGGCCAAGAAGCAGAATAAGAAATTTACTCAGCTACAATCACACACCATTTCCTACAGAAAAGGCAAATATCTCAAAGAGTCACAATAAGAGCCACTGAAAGTAATAGATTTAGTAACCACTTCCAGGGAGCAGAATGAGATCCTAATCAAGAAAAATCTTCCATGTTGGAGGCAGACACAACTAGTAACTTTCTATTATCTGAATGTCAAAATTTCTACAGACAAGTAACTGTTGCTTGCACCCATTTTCTCCCTTCTTGTTCTTTGAATGGCAATATCCATTGTTACTGTATTGCCCCTGTCTCACAATTATCTGTATGGGGCAGTTAGGTTGTCTTTTTTTTTTGCTCAAGCTCTGTACTGAAGAACTCCACCCAAGGTATAACACCTGAGGACACTTATTGGCATGTGAAATTGATTTACTTGAATAAATTCTGAAATTTAGACTTGATTCTGATAAGAGAATGAGTTAAGACATTGGAAGTCTTGGGAACGGGGTGAGTAAATTTTGCGTGTGGAGAGGATGTGAGACAATAGGAGACGGGAGGACAATGCTTCACTGTAATGTTGGTGATGCTCAATAAATCATGCTCTTGTTCCCACCCACTCTGCACACACATTGACTATGTGTTTATTCATATGACTCCATTCAAGTAATTGGACATTGTAACCGTGATACAAACAGAATCTTGGTAAGTATGAGCACACTGGGGCTTCCATTTGCAAAGTTCCCTTTTAGAAGCCAGTAGCAACGTAAGTGAGCTCAGTTACACCATATGGAGTAAAATAATTGCTAAACTGAGTCAAGTTAGCACACATAGGCATGAAGAAGGATACAGTGTTGATATTTTTAGCCACTAAGTTTTGGGTTGACGTGTTATTCAGCAAAAGATAATTGAAACAGAAGTAGAGGAAATAATGAAATGCAAAGCTATTCTTTCAGATTTTTCAAGAACTCCTATTTAACCTATTAATAAATAATTTAATGAATTAGGAAACCGTTGACTTTTTTATGGTTTGCCTCTAAAGAATATGAAGTAGCTAACACTACTTATCAGAATCAGTATTGAAATATGTCAGATGTAGAATAATCATGGTCACCGTTTATTGATATTTCCTGTGTGGTAAGCATTACATAAAGAACTTTATAAACATTATCTCAATGAGCCCTTACATCAACTCTTGAAGATGAATATTATGCATATTATAACCACAGTTTTCTGGATAAAGGAACCAAGGTTTAAATTTTATATAAATTTTTATATAAATTTTATAAAGCTCAAGTTCAGAGCTAGTAATTAGTGGTAAAATTTGCATGTGAACCCAGGTCTATTGTAATTCCAATATCTGGGTTCTTATCTGCTTCTTAATGTTACTTCAATGATCCCAGTTCTGTCCTCACTGCAACTTAGTGAGAAATTCTTTCCTCATTTTTTTTTTTTTTTCCCCTGGTGAGTAAAGATGTGGATCTCTTGGTATCTGAGTTAGTAAAAATTTCATTTATACCATTTAAAAGGGTATTTCCACTAGAATTGGTAAGGGAGCTTCATGTAGTCAAACCGGTGAATAAAGCTTCCCAATCCCCATTGAGTTATCTTAAGTGTGTATTCCATCCTCTTTTATAAGGTTTGGATCTTTGCTTACAAAAAGATGCCTATTTCCTTCTCCGGGCCCAGGCTTCCAAGTACAAAGAAAGTTGCAACTTCCTTCTAAAACCTTCCATCTATAAAAACGACTCTTCTAAGAGAATTTCCAATTGCTTTATCTCCAGATGTGAGAGTATACAAACGTTTTGGACTGGTTTGGTTAATCATTCTTTCTTCTATATATCTCAATCTTCCCAGGTCAGTTTCAGACATTGATCATCTTTGTGACAGGTGAAAGGAAGATAAAGTGAGCCAATGAGGAATGTGGAAGTGGGAGGTGGAAGAGGAGGTGTTGATATAAATTGAATCGTCAAGTTAATCTTTTTTCCCAAATACTAAGACACCTTATTCTTAGAAACATTTGCCTATAAAGGCTATACAGCCTGCTGAATTAATAAAAAGACAGAGTAAATTAAATATTGATTGAATTTTATATTATTAGTACATACATAAGACACTTCACATAAAATAGAAAATGTGACTTATGTTCTGAGAATATTCTAACTTGATATTGAAATTTCTTTCAAAAAATTAAATTTAAAAAGAAATTTGAAGTGCTGACTCCATATATAACATAAATCTTCAGAGACATACATTCGTTACCTATTTACAAGTAAAGAATATTTATAGGAGGCAATGGCTTGGGTTAGAAAGAAATGGAAGAAATTCGCTAAAATATTAACAGGGTTACCTGGTTCATTTCTATCAATATCAAAGACTTAGTTTTAGTCTCTTTCTCATAGTATATTTTGTATTTCATTTTAACTGCTCTTTTAATTAAATAGTGGATAATGAGAGAAACCACAATATATAAATGCCTTTTCTTTCACCCTTCAAAGCCTATTTAAGGTTATTTTTATTCTATATGTGTATGCACTTTGTGGAATTTATAGGGCTTATATTGAAAATTGTGCCCTTGTGAAAATTTGGCATTTACTATATATTTTTTTCATTTTAAGAATGAGTTAAACTTTACAGTGGTTTAAAAAAATGAAAGTACCTTATAAAAACACATGAGGAATAATTAGCTTCTTTATTTTTAATAACTCATGACATCCTACAAGAAGGAAAACGGTACAATAAAGAGAAATAAAATTTCAGCATGAACTAGAAGTTAATGCTAGCTTGTCACTCAAAATGTGTCTCCAACCCAGTGGATCTCAAATTTCTGTATTCACCAGAATTACTAGAAAGGCTTGTTAAAACACAGACTCCTGGGCCCCTCTTTCAGATACTTCTGATTTAGTAGGTCTGTGGTGGAGTCCAGAAATTTACATTTCTAAGTTCCCAGGTGGCTCTGATGCTACTGGTCTGGGGGCCATATTTTGAGAACCACTGCTCTTACCAACTGTTTATTAATTACACTCTAACGTAAATATAAACTGTAAATTCAGTAAACTTATTGGGCACCATGTAGAAGCCAAAAGATTGTGACTCAGGATGAGGCAAGATGGCAGAAAGCCTTCTTTTCTTTTAAATATATAGAGATTTGTTCAGGAAATTTTAAAAACTGAAAGTATTTCTCAAGTCATAGGCTCACTCATCGCAGAGATCTTATTCAAAATAAACAGAAAATGCAACACTTTATTAAAGTAAAAGTCTCTTTACTATTAATATACAAATGGTGAAGAGTGACAATTTTGATATACTGTAAGCCATACTTTCAATGTCTCTCATAAATACAAAACTTCAACATTTGCAGAATAATTTTTACAGTTTAGACATATATATACAGCATTTCATAGGGACATACTATATTGAAACAATAAGAAAACTGAGATAGCTAGCTTAAAAATATAGAAATTGCATGGAATATATAAGTTCAAGAAAATAAAAGATAGTATGTTTTAATGCATACTGAACACAGCATAGAATTCACATACCAACAAAAAAGGTTTTTTAACTTTTATTTCTAAGTTCACATATTCCTAGTAGAGTTTAGAGGCAAGTGCTAAACCATGAACATTCCTTTAAGAATTGGAACAAATATATTTGCTCTTAACAGAATCATTTATTGTATATAACGCACGTTGTTCTCTAAGAAATCCTAGTTGCAAAATTGAATCCTAGGTTCTATTTGTTAACTTTCTTCTCTGGATTTCACTAAGCTCTCTCCTTTGCATCAGTGTAATTGGCCTTAATTTTCATCTTAGGGATGGACCCAATCCGTGGTCCAGCACATCGCACACTGAGGTCCTTCTTACCTAAACAAAATGTAGCTCACCTTGCCTTTCTCGATTCTTTCAGTTCCCTGTTCCTCTATTCCCCTATGCCTGCTTGTGATGTGAAATTTTCCACCCGTCATTGTTTCGCTTATTCTTTTCCAAGGAAGGCTAAAATTAGATGCTAAAAGATATATGCTTTCATTTCAGGAAAAAAGAAATAAAAAGAAGTGGCAATATTTCACTTATATGGGCAATTTTTATATTAATAATTATACATCATATGGCCAAAATCCTGAAAATTATAAAAAAGAATTAAAGAGGTGGTACCTACTAATGTATTTAAGTTATTGATAAAATCCTATAGTGAATAATGAACTATTTTTATAAGAATATTAAGTATGTTATTAAATAAATATTAAGTATTATATATAATTTGACTTTCATATAAGGGGAAATAATTAATCTATTAGCATTCTTGTATAATGTTGTGAAATAGCTGCATCTCCATGGGTAAATGGAAATTTCAAAAAAGGAGAGGAGGGACCTGGAAGTAAATTTTATTTGTTCAGCAACTACTATGTCTAGGCCTTTGTATAACTGTCTCATTTACGTATATAATTGTTTTATCTCAGAGCATTATTAAGCCCACGAGCAGAATACTTTCTCGAAAGATTTCATTTTCTGATGGAAGTACTTCATTTCTGTGATCTTCCACAGTCTAATTTTAGCACATGTTAATATATCCATTTGCAATTGCAATTTGAGAGAGGATGTAAGAATGGTTCAAAGGATTAACAAAAAGATGCAAAACTTTTCTTTCTAAAGATAAATAATGCAAACAATCTTATTTAAAAAAATATCTTCACCTACTCATAAAGTTTCTTGAATAAGCACTCTGGATATGATTATGAAAAAGACCTCCATGAGGGGTTGAAATAGAGCATCTACATTATTCTCTATGAAAAAGACACTTGCAAATTGAACAAGTAATTGTAATATGCTATTCCAATATTCCTTAAATTAAGAAATGGAGATTATTCTTTCCGTCTCTTTAGTTTCAGATATTTTCATCAGTGATTATCTTACCATCAACAATAAAAGACGATTTATGATCCCAAATTGAATATGTAACAAGAATAATGTAGACCCAAGTGACACCATAATAATTTACTCTGCCTTAAAAAGTCATGTTTTCTGTGTCTTACAACTGGTAAAACTCAATTTCAACAAAATCTAGAACGTATTTATTGTCTAGAACAACAATACAGAACAAATTAAGTATCTTTTGTGTAGGCATCAAAAGAATTATTTTGTCATGAGTGGAAATAAGTTACACAGTATCAGCTGCTATATTTAGATTTTGTATGCAAGGTAAAGTAGTTGGAATTGAGTTTGTCCACTGAATGTAAATTAGAGTATCATTCTAGTGTTATAGATATAAGCAAAATCTATCAATAAAGTTTGCAGTTGTATTTTTTCTTTTAATAAAGCAGAAAGTCATGCTAATGCAAAGGCACAAATACATTTTAATTATTTAAAATAAGAAGCATAAAATAAAGATATGATTATAAAGTTACCATTAATTGTTGCATTCAAATAAATAATTTGATTAATAAAATCCTTTATATAAATGTTTACTTCAAAGACTAAGATTCATGTAAACTTTGATGGATCAAATAGTCTTTGAAAAATGCTATAATAGAAATTAGTGTTAAAAATAAAGGAAAACTTGAGAAACATTACTTTAATGTTAGACATTAGTATCAATAGAATGGCAACAAATCAACTCACAAAAATAATAAATAAATCTTTAGAAACCACAATTCTTAAATTCCTTTGCAGATCATTGTAAAATTTGTTGACACATTAATTTGTGCCAGTTTTTAAAAAAAATGTGCTAAAATGCTGATATTACTGTTCCCTCTTATATGTTGTTGGATATAGATTGTCATTGCCTAATTGCATATAACCTATCAAGAAATTCCAATATTTTCAGTGATATCTTTGCTTCTTTGTTTAAAGTAGTATAGAGTTCTGATTATTTAACCCTACTTATATTCAGTCAACTCTTTTTGACCTTTTATAGTAACATTTAAGAGTACTCAGATAGTAAAAATATGTATACAGTTATATGGATATGTTTTTGTCTAGAATATGAATAAAAAATAAGAAAGAGATTATTTGAGTTCTCCACATATTTTACAATTTACTACAAGCCATCTCTTATTTGGAAACTTTTACAAAGGAGTAATTTGGAGCATTCCACTGTAACATTAAAAAAAAAAAATGTTTATCACAGTATTGCCTTGCTCCTGCATGGCATAGATTTCAAAGACAAGAGATAAAGACCACTTGGACAATTGAAACAGTGCACTTGAAACAGTCTGTCTACAATTAGTTCCAGATTATCTGTTAACTTCAGATCATTACTCCACATTAGTGGCAAGAAATTTAACAGCATATATATATATGAAAGAAATATTTAAGTAAATTGCTTTATATGGAAAATCCAAAGAAATGAGAGAAACAAAACTTTCAAATTGAGAAAACACAAAAGTATCTGTTCTTTATTATGATTTCTCTACTCTTGAAGTAAAGCACGAATATAACAGTAGTAAACATGCTGAATTGCTGTCTCAGTTTTCCTAATTCTTTCACCATTATTAGTTTAAAACCATGTAGCCCCATGCAGGAAGATTGGCATTCGTGGCTACGTTATTAAGCCCAGTTACTTTGCACAAACTAATTCAAGTATTTTAACTAGTTTTAGCACATTGGTACAAAAGAGAAAAAAACTAAAATAAAACAACAGATGATCAGACAAACATAACATAAACATCAACAGTCAAATCCATCAAAAGACCAGTTGGATAATTCTTGCTCAAATTTTTAGGTAGGCACAGGAATTCTTTTCCTTCAGAATCTGCCATAAAGAAGCAAGGAGTGATTGCTGCGTTATAACCCTGTAAATTATGGCAACGATACTGTGGATATTTAGTGCCTGAACATGCAGATGGGCACAGTCTGTGTTGCTGATAACCAAAATTGTGTAAAATTAGTTAGTTGTCTCTCCTTGACTGATGGAGCACTTTTCAAGCACTTTATAAATAAAAATATTCATGAATGGCATTAATTTTATATTTAATATTCATCAAATTATCTCTATAGAGAGACATCCTAAGGCGGGTCGCTCTGCATTGTTAACATTCCTCCAACGTTCTTTTGGTACATATTCCCCAACCAATCAATGTTTGAGTATAATACCACCTGAAACACTAAAGGTTATGAATATGATGGGGCCTAAAGAAACCTTTGGCTCTCTAGGGTAAGAAACAGTCTAAAACCTGCTCCCCATTGGTATGTATATTTATAATCATAAATACATTTTTTTACCTTACATATAAGTGACAATCAGGTTTCAATCTTTTACCTCTGGGAGCTTGCATAGCTTGGAAGTTAAGAAGTATTTTATTCTGGCATAGGTCCTAAAACATAGTAATATTAGAAAGTTTGTGTTGAACAGTTAAAGAATTTCTTCAACCAAAGTTTATCAAAATCTTAAAATGACATCTAGCTACAACATCCAGAAGAAAAACAGATAGTGGCAATTCAGTTGTTTATCACTGACACTATTATGCATGTTTAAATGCTAATTTCTCCTCAATTTAACCAGTAAGGATTTCAATTTCCATTAGCCAATTACATTTAATGATTGACCTATAACACTGGAAAAATAAATTTTTAAGCAAAGATTATCTAAAACAATAGGCAAAAAATGTGTATGAGGATATGGTTTGAACTATTTGGACACTAAAGATTTGCTTTTCGATAAAATTATTTAAAAAGTAAAAGATAATCACATATTTATAAATATATCAAGACAATATTGATGTTGTTCCCATTTCAATTTACTTTATTTGAAGCTGAGGGCAAAAATCAATATTATTTTCACTTGCGATACATTTTGTGTAATTCATTGTGAATGAATATGGCATATTTAAGAGAGAGATTTACGCAATCGTTCTAATCTAATTTTGTACACAACTAATATTCGTTCAAATGGGTAACAATTTTGATCTGGCACTTCAGTCTATCAGAAATCAATGTTGAAATAGCATTGTAATTATAACTTAAAAAGAGTTTTCCGAGGTTTCTCTCAATTTTCAATATCTGCTAAAGATACGTGGCTCCTTTAAGCTCAGGTTCCCTGAAATTCTCCTGATAAAAAGTCTAACCTTTATTGAGTGTTTTCATTTTAAACCGAAATCCACTTTAATAATCTACTTGCCCAAGATAGGATTAAAAAACATGCAGGGCTTTCTTATACATTTAGCTCATAAAGCTTTTGTTTTGTATTCTTCTTAAACCCCTATTTGTTGGAGAGGTCGTGATACTTAAGAAACAGAGCGCTTTAGCCATATAATCAATTGCAGTACTTCGATCATAGTGTCAAATTGATACCCAAGAGCTGGTGCCAGTCAGGTCTCTATATCTAAATTCATAACAAAATAAACAACAACAATAACAACAACAACAACAACAACAAAAGGAAATGGACTATGGGCAGGGGTATTTGATCGTATGTATATGTGTACAAGCTATTCCAAGCTAGAAGTTTCCCAAGAAATTAAGGTCCATGGAATCATTTTGGTCATAGGGTCACTGCAATCCAAATGCTCTTTGTAGCCTCTGTAATGTTGGTGTTATGCTTTGCTGTCATCCTCTTTTGATTGGATGATGTCATTAGAAACCTTAATTTCTATAGTTTCTGGATTTAGGACTTCTTTCCCATTTTCTTCTTTTAAAGGCAATTTTCTGGAAGGAAATACAAAAATAATAGTCTTCATTTGGTAAGGCACATTAAGGTATCCCTTAATATTTCACTTATTGTTTTGTAGCAGGAGATATGCTACAATTATTAGAATAAAAACGAATCAGATTTGTTAACGTAATATTACACTGACAGAAAAGTAATTGAAAAGAGAATAAAATAATATTGTCTATTGTCAAAATGTAATGCAGAATGATGAGTGAAAAAATATATTTGTAGATTTAGATGCACCAACTCGCTCATTATAGAGTGGCTTAGGTTTGATAACCAGTTGTTGATATTAAAAATATAATTCCTTTGGAATGTAAAAAAGCCAAAGCATTTTTATACGTCAACTAGACAATTTACTAGTACTCAGGTTTTTCAAGTAAAAACAATCGATAGTTGCTGCCATATTCTGTTATACAAACTTCAGAAGCTGGGTGAATTAGCAATATCCTTTGGAACTTAATGCAAATAAATATATTTCAGGACTTTCTCACTTTTTGAATTCACTGTCTGTCTTTTTCCATTGGTCTCTTTTCACTATTTTGTTTTTCTTGTTACCTTTGTGACGTCTATGAGCACTCTTTTTTCAAGAGTTGTTTTCAGTTGTAACCTATGAAGCAAGAGCAACCTTTATTTCTTAAATTAAGACAGCTTCACAAATCTTACTATTGTGGACAGATTTTTGGGACCCCTCTCCCTGGTCTGACAGGAGACCCTAACAAGACAACTGCAAAGGCTTTAAGTCGGTGCAATAAAATCCACGCTGTGCTGTGAAGCAGGCGTGCGGGCCATCTTCATCTTGCGTCACATGACCTTGCATCCCCACTCCTCATGACAAAGATGCCAGGTGGACAACAGGAAAAGATAATGGGTAGCTCCCTCTCCCATTTCCCAGCTGCATTTCCTAGAGATTGAAGGAATAATTAAAGACCCTGGTCCTTGCCTCCCTGCACACATAGATAACATCAGCATCTCTGAACTTTGATGTATAACCAGGAAATTCTTGTTTATGTTATCTTCAATGTGGAATCTAGAGAAAAGTCCAGATGCACTCTATCTCTTTTTTTTGTTGACACATATGAAATCTAGTTGGAAGATTTTTTTTCTTTTCCTCTTCCCTCCACGTGCACTATTTGTGAAAGAGAGATAAGCTGCACTTAACCTCACACCCCTGGGAGCAGCTCCATCAGAGCTCTCTGTTGAACTGGTTTCCTCGCTTTGAACTCGTCATGCTGATTATTGAAATTCTTTCAGTAATATCACCTAGACTCTTTATTTCAGTCGACACTAGGATGGCAATGAATCAAGATTTCTAGTTTTTTTCACCATTCTTAAATTCACTATGTTTTACTATTTTTTTAAAAGAATTGGCACCTGAGTTAACAACTGTTGCCAATCTTCTTTTTTTTTTTCCTGCTTTTTTCTCCTCAAATCCCCCCAGTACATTTTTAGTTGTATATTTTAGTTGTGGGTCCTTCTAGTTGTGGCATGTGGGACACCACCTCAACATGGCCTGATGAGCGGAGCCATGTCTGCGCCCAGAATCCGAACCCTGGGCCGCTGAAGCAGAGCGCGCGAACTTAACCACTCAGCTATGGGGCGGGCCCCTATTTTTTGCTAGTTTTACTGTTATATCTTGGGTACACGGTTTGGGGGGTAATTTTTCCTCCCTTGACAAAATAGTTTTTCCACATCAAAAAAATTAAGTTACAAATAAAACTCATTCACCTCTCCGACTTTAGCCTCACCATTTTATGGGGCAGTGAATGCTACTATGCTAGTTCCTCTGAAATTTATTTATAATTTATTTTATATTTTTGAATGAGAAGGGTAAACCATTGCATTCTGAAGCTCAAAGCTATTTTGTGAAAACTAACCAATTGAAAGTAAGTAATAGGAAAAAACTGCTTAGATCCATTTCTGGAAGAGAAGTAGCATCTAGTTTGTATTACTAGGGTAGGCTCTTTTACATGTGTTAGAATTATTGGATTCCCAGCTCTGCCCTTCTCTTGTTCTGTGTACTGAAAACACTGACAATAAAAGATTATAAAAACAACAAGTCACTTCTAGCATCCAAATGTAAAGAAATTCAGAGCTCGGATGGGAGGTTTCAAAATGCTTACTATGTCCTACTCAAAGAACTAAGTAGTGAGTCTGTAATTAACCAGTGTTTGCAACTAATTTGCGGATGGTGTACTTTTGCGAATATTATTTTTCACTACTTATGTTTGTGTTGTTTTCTATTATTTTTATGTTGAATATTTTTTTTCTATAGTTGAGACCCAGAGTAGTTATTTTGTTTTGTTCAAAACACAGCCCTGCCATATGTAAGGGTATTTTCTTAAGTAGTTTTCAAACACATCTATGTATCATTGTAACTGTTAATTAATAGACAGGAATTTGATTTGTTGTGTAATATTTTGCGTCATTAAAAAGACTTCTGATTTGTAAGGTCTCTACAAAAGTTAACTTCAATTTAGAGAGTAATAATCTCTATATGCAGTCACTAAAAACAGCCTGAGGATTTCTACTGAAATTTTAGCTACAGAGTAGTACTTCATATATGTCTAAATATTCATCGTTTCAGCTCCTTGAGAGAACACAGAGGGGGTTTCTGAAACAAGCTATTGTCTTCACCTGTGACAACACTTTGCTTTTCATTCAGCATGAGAAGCCTGAATCAAATTTCTCTGCAAGGGAATGCTAGCTGGTAAAGAAAAAAGGAATATTTATTTTGAAAAACAATAAAGTTTAAAAGTCATTTGGGTGAGCAATATTTAAGGAATAATATGACAGCCATGGTTTTGTTAGTATCAAATATAGCAATACAGCACTACTATTATTATTGTCAAGGATGCCTTTGGCTTTAATCATCTTAACTTTCATGTGTATGAACATCATCTTTGCTTATGTTCATCATCTTTGCAGGTTTAGCTGAAATACCTACTGTGTTTTGAATGGAGCCCTGATGGATGCAGAAAGAAGTAAATAACATAATCTTGAATAGAGACCAAGCACCATTTACTATATACTCATTAAAGTGATAGTTTAACAGTATTTCTTCCTCTTCTTAACAAATATTCTTTCCATTTTTAAATAGACTTGTGTATAATCCACCCTATTTATTTCTATTTTAGATTGTCATATTCATATTTAAAGTGATGACCAATTTCCTCACACACCTCTATCTCAGTGAAAATCAATCAAAGTTTGAAAGTACCACTTTCTTAAAGAGTAAGATTAGTGTAGGAAAACCCAACTCTGTAACACATTTCTGTCTTTTTGATATTTTGCATAAAATTATAAAAATATGTTTGAACAGTAGATTACTCAACATTGATACAGAATTTTTGTGTGGAATGTCTCAATAGAAAATAGATTTTAGATGTACTTTCATTGAAAAAGAAATACTTTTCTATAAATGATGTTATTTGTAATACATGCTACAAATAATGCTAATGTGTTATCACTCTCAAAATACTTCTCTATAAATAAGCACTTGGAGCTACATACTCAGGCTCCGTTAGTGGTGTTGTTTCATTCGGCTCATTTACTGGGCTCCCATCTTCATGGTTAGTAATTCTTTCATCTTCTGTTCTCATCTCCACTATTGGTTCTTTTGATCCATCTTTCCTAGAGAAGTAAAGAAAAAAAATCTTACGTATGTAATGGAAAAAAGGATGCATTATGGAGCATAATTTAAAATCTCCATCTAATCCTGCCTCCCTCCAAATAAATCCAACATGGTCATAAGAATACCACTAGGAAATTTTTTCCATTTAAATTCATCTAATCATATATTTTTCACTCAGAAAAAAAATAGAAAGATACTCCATTTTGTCTAGAATTACTTTTCTCATTAAAATTGTGTTATTTTGCAAAAGTAGTTCAAATTTTAAGTTTTATTGTGTCATTTCTTTTAGGAATTAAATGAAAAGTATTTTTGCTGAATAAAATTTATGACATGAAATTGCTTTCGTTCTCCTGAACTAGCCATATACGTTTAAAAACATCTTTTAAAAATTTGAAAAATAGTATCAGAAATATTGCTTCTATTTCAAAATTTGTAAGATAAAATATATATATGTTTTATTGTTTTAAATGTCTCAATTTATATGAATGATGTTAACTATAGTGCGATCATTGAATTTTAACATATTCATGTTTTCAAGGAAATAGTTGAAATAAAAACAATATTGTAACATATATACATGATATTTTTGTTTATAATTTCATATCCATGTCATCTTTATTGGATTTCTAAAATATGAGAGTGAGTGTAATTTATCACAAATGTGAAATGTAGAAAGATTACTGCAAAGATTCACACCCAAAAAAATGAACAGAAATAAGAAAAATAGGAAAGACATTTGGTGAAGATAAAGAGTGCAGTGAAATATAAGGGTTGGAAATGACCCACTTATAACACAGGTTAATAATTTGGCACACAAAAAATTTAAGAAAGAGGTGGGGTCTTCACCTCCCCAGGAACATAGTCTTACATACAAACCCTCAATTGAACTCTTACGTATTTACAAATGAGTTGAAGACTTATGTCCACCTGAAAATCTCTACATGAATGTTTATAGAAGCTATACTCTAATTGACAAAAATTAGAACCAATCAAGATGTCTTTCAACAGGTGCATGGATAGACAAACTGTGGCACATCCATATAACTGGATATTACTCAGCAATAAAGAGAAATGAGCTATCAAACAACAGAAAGACATGGAAGAACTTTAAATGCATATTGCTAAGGGAAATAAGGCAGTCTGAAAAGGCTACATACCATGCAAATCCAATTATATGACATTCTGGAAATGGCAAAATTATAGAGATAGTAAAAAGATCATTGGTCACCATCCCAGGGGTTCAGGGTGAGGGAGTGAAGGAGAGATGTAATGGTGGAGCACTGGGCATGAGAGGGCAGCGAAACTGTTCTATGTGATACTGTATGGTAGATAGATGACACTGAAGTTCGTTCTTAAAAATCAAGTAAACCAGGATTACACACAAAACAAAGCAAACAGCAAAAACCTAACAATGGCCCACATACTTAACAGACCTCACAGATCTTGAGATTTGAACAGGAAAATATTAAGGATGATAAAACACTTCTGATCAGGTGGCAGGTTTGAAAACGTTGCTGACTATGTAGGTACCTCACAGACAAATACATCAAAATTTGAAGGATGTGAGTCAGTAGAAATAGAAGAAAACCTAGAGATCAATAGTGAAGAACTCTTTATACCTCTAAAACTCAAATGTCTATGGGAGCTGGTGATTCAGAATGTTTAGCAGCATTCTCTGATTAGGAGCTCCAAATAAGTGCAATCAATATAATAGTAAAGATGATTAAAGAGCCTATCACCATTAAATTTTAGATTTATGTTGTTTGCTTATTTGTTTGTTGTAGTTTTTATTCTTCAACTGATTCTTTTAAAAAATTCTTCATGAAACCAATGCTCTTGATGACATAGAGGATGATAGTATTTGGAAAAACGTTAACTATTAATGATTCTGAGCAGAAAAGTGATTCGAAGTTTGGATTTTATTTTTAATTGTATTAACAATAGATACAGGTCTATGATGAAATGAAACAGATTGCAAAGAAAAGATAATGAACTTGATTTTAATTGTATCTTCTCTACTGAAAATAAACACATAAACAAACAACTTAAACTAGAAAGGATAAAATAAATTTTACAGAAAGGAAATGAAAGTGTAGCAAGAGAAAATTGTGAGTTGCTCTAAAATCCTTATTTTTGTTTTTAATGATCTTTTAATTTTTAAAAAGCTAGCATGTTTATGTACTATAAAGTGCTACAAAAAGACAGAGAGGGAAAAGTGAACCTCCCTACCATTCCTTTCTCACAGGATATTTAGTTATTTATCAGAGAGACAATTACTGATATATATTTTATATATATATATATTATTTTTTTTTTGGTGAGGAAGATTGGCCTTGAGCTAACATTTGTTGCCAATCTTCTTTTTTTTTTTGCTTGAAGAACATGGTCCCTGAGCTAACATCTGTGCCAATCTTCCTCTATTTTGTATGTGGGATGCTGCCACAGCATGGCTTGATGAGCAGTGTGTAAGTCTGCACCTGGGATCTGGGCCTGTGAACCTGGGGCTGCCGAAGTAGAGTGTGTGAACTTAACCATTATGCCACCGGGCCAGCCCCATCAGTTACATTTTTAAATCTTGTTTTCAGAGATATTCTGTGCATGTACCAGCATATATGTATGAAAGTGCATATAGCTGTTTTTAAGCACATGGTAACATACGAACTGCATGTAATTTTGCCTTTTCAATTAACATTAAGTATTAGCCGGAGCCCATGAGAAAACATTTAGAGCTGCCTCTCTCTTTTTCATGATGCATCCCGTCCTGTTGTACGTATACACCACCACGTATTTGATCAGGTTCCAAATGACAGACATTTACGTTGTTTCCAACCCTTTCTATTACAAGAAATACTATAAGGATGATCAAGTTAATATTTTACTTACCCTTATGTGAATATATCTGAAGCACACATATAATTTACGTGAATCTAATTCCTATCCTGTATAAATTATATTTAATTATACTTGAAGTGATATCAGAATCATTACCGATATTTCCTGTGGAATTATAAAGAGTGACAGGATAATATTTTGTTGAAATTGGCATAAAAATGTATGCCATAATTTATGGACAATTTCACAGTTTATAGACTGGTAAACTTTCTATAAATTCTGGCCAGATTTCTGGAACTGATTATTATGCAGAAAATGATGACGAGTATAGCAGAGCAGTTTAGAGGATGTGTCCTGGAACCAAACTAGCTGGCTTTCACACTCACTCACTGCATAAGCATTTCTGTCTGCTGTTGGTTGATTAGCAAAAAAGGGATGATAATGATAACACACTACTTTCTGCAGAGTGCTTAGAAGGGTGCCTGACATATATGCAGCACTGAAACAGTCCTGACTGTCATCAGTATCCGAGGAAGGCAAGGAGGATTGATGTTAGGAAATACGTTACTAAAACTTGCAACTTGAACAAGTTACGGAAAAAGAAAATGAAGATATCTTGATGCACACTGAGAAAAATTATTTAATAAAATTTACCAATTCTTGAATAAAAAGGTAAAGATTCATATAATTAATGGCATCATAAACAAACATCTCAACTTTGGGATAGACCGGGAAAAATATTTGCAACAAATACAACATCGAGTGATTGAGGGCCACATTATATAATCAACAAGTAAGAGAAAAGTTAAATAACTCTATGAAAATGTGTAAAGAATATGAAGAGAAAATTCCAGGAAAAAGTAAAAGGATCAAAATCATAAAACAAATAAGCTAAGATTCAATCTGGATCAGAAAAATTGTAAATGATATTATTTATTTATTGTATTGGCAAAAATAAAAATAAATTGATAATATTCAATGTTTGATAAGCTGTAGCAAAATATACATCCCCCAATTTTATTGGGAGTGAGAACTGGTATAGACTTCTGTGAGCAATTTGCCAGTATTTTTTGGTTTTGATCCCTCATTCCACATCTAGGAGGTAAGCGCACATTTACAGAAGGATTTATGTAAAAAGGAAGTTCAAAACAGCATATTTTACTTGAATATTATAAAAATATTGACAGTTTCATCTAAATTGTAACAATGGAGAAGTGCATAAATATCTTACGGTATCTAATACTATGGAATACTACTTATGAAAAGAATGAGTCAGAAATTTATGTCTTGAAACAGAACATTATTGAAGCTGCATTCTATGTAAGAAAAAACTGCAATAATAGATATATGTATATATACAGATTGGTGTCTGTGTGTGTGTGGGTGTGTGTGAAGTCAGATGTAATTCTTGCCTTTGTTTCCCTATAGATAAGGTGTTTATTTCCTCTACCTTCTGTCAGGAGTTTTTCTTTATCTTTGAATTTCTGTAGTTTGAAAATGAGATGTCTAGGTGTAGTTTTGTTTTGTTTTGTTTTTGTTTTTGACATTTTTCCTCCTGGATGTTCTCTGGACTTCCTGGATCTGTAGTTTCATGTCTGACACTAATTTGGGGAATTTCTCAGTCATTATTATTTAAAATATTTCTTCTGTTCCTTTTTCTCTTTCTTCTCTTTCTGGTATTCCCATTACACATGTGTCTTGCCTTTTGTAGTTGTCCCAGTTCTTAGGTAGTCTGGTTTCTTTTCGATCTTTTTTCTGTTTGCTTTTAAGTGTTGGCGTTTTCTATTAAGATGTCCTCAAGCTCAGGGATTCTTTCCTCAGCTGTGTCCAGTCTACTGATAAACTCATCAAGGGTGTTCTTCATTTCTGTTGTGGTGTTTTTGATTTCTAGCATCTATATTGGATTCTTTCTTAGAATTTCCATCTCTGCTTACATTGCTCATTTCTTCTTGCATGCTGTCTACATTATCTGGTACAGTTCTTACCGTATTAATTGCATATTTTTTAAATTTTTTGCCTGATAATTCCAACATCCCTGTTTTATCCAAACATGGTTCTGATGCTTGCTCTGCCTTTTCAAATTGAATTTTCCTTTAGTATGCCTTGTAATTTTTTCTTGATAGTGGGACATGATGTACTGGTTACAAGGAACTGCTGAATATAGGTGTTTGGTAACATGGTGGTAAGGTGTGATGTGGAGGATGCATTCTATAGTCCTACCATTAGGTCTCAGTCTTTTAGTAAGTCTGTGCCCCTGGACTGTGAACCTCACAACTGCTTCCTGGTTTTTCTTCTCCCCGCTCCTTAAATGCAACAGGATGGCTAGAGTGGGCTGGAGTTGGGTGTTTCCCTTCCCATATGTGGAAACCTAGAGGGGACTGGAGTTGGGTATTTCTCTTTCTCTACATTGAAAAGCCATTTCCACATACATGCACACATACATACACAAATTTTAGCTAGTTACTTCTTATTATTCCTTTATAATTTAGTTCTTTTACAACTTGCTGAGACAAGTTTGGGTAAATTTTTGGGGTTTTTTTTTATGTAGCATTTATAACAGAATTTATTTATTTATTTATTTATTCGATTTTTTTTTTAACTGAAATGTGTATTCCCTCAGGGTAAAAGCTAGATCTTGGCAGGGACTAGTTTGCTTTTCCTCGCAGAATTGTGTCTCTGGGGTTTAGAATACTGCCTGTTTATGCAGGTGTTCAATAGATATTTGTTAGTATAAATAAATGCTTGGGTAAATAAGAGTAAAGTAGTTTGATAAATTAGGAAGCATTAGCCATTTTTATAAGATAAACTATGAGAATGTAGACAAATGTAAATTTAAATTGTTAAGAGCCAAGTAATAATGAAATATTCTAGAACTTTAATGTCATCCTGTATGTTACTGGTATTCAGCTCTCTTTTTTCTGCAACATGATGCTCTTTAAACAAGAATTCTCTAAGTATGTAGTTATGTAGTAAATCTACATAGTCTTGTAACTTGTGATAGCATGAAAGAACTAGTCTCGTCTCGGAATGCTTGGGATCATGTTTAGAAACTGGAATTAATTTAATTAATCAAATCAGTAATATCCTATTTCTCATTGTGAGTTTATATAACCTTTTTCAAAAGATTATATATAATCTTTTCCCAATTTGAATGATGAACTTTTGAAAATGAGTTGAAAACTCTTTTCCCAAGCCAAGAGAAATTATGATATAGAAAGTTGTGATGGATAATAAACGTGGAGTGAAACATGTGTTTTCATCTTCCCAAGTCTTTAAGGTTAATAAAACTCAGCGGGATTTATAAACAGATGAGCTGGTGGATTAATTAACAAATAACAGAGTCAAATAAAAATAAATAGCAGAACTCAAATCATTGTTTTGCACGTGGTTATCAACATTCCTTCAGTTAGTTAAGACAAAAACATGATGATCCTTTTTAACATCTCTCCTTCTTTCACCCCAAAGTCCAATCAATCAATAGCAGTTGACTCTACGTCACCTATATCTAGAGTCTATACACTTTTATGTGCCTATAGTGCTACAACTTTGGTCCAAAAGATCATCATTTTTCACCTGGAGTATTTCAAGACCCTCCTACCCGGTCTCCCTGATTCTAAATCTTTCCTCTACATCTACCAACCCTCCAGTGATCCATTCTTCATGAGTAGCTAAAGTAATCTTTAAAAACTTCCAGTAGCTTTCTACACAGAAAAAAAGTAAAGTTTCTTACTTTGACCCAATAAGATTTAATATTTCATTCCCTAGACAAGTCTCCAACCTAATATTTGTACCCGTCTCTCTTTCTGCCTTGCACTACTCATGTTAATTTGGCCTTTAACATACTAAATTTATTCCTCCCTTAACAGCCTTCATATTAATTGTTATATCAGCATAGAATGTTCCTCCCTGATCATTATATGGCCCCTTATCACTCACACTTCAGCTTAAATTTCAACTTCTCTGAGAGGACTTTATGACCCAATCTTTAGTAACAGTTTATCATTCTGTTTTTCTTTTCTTTGTTTCTTCTTCTTCTTCTTCTTTTTTTTTTTTTGCTGAGGAAGATTGGCCCTGAACTAACATCTGTTGCCACTCTTCCTCTTTTTGGTTGAGGAAGTTTGTCTCTGAGCTAACATCTGTGTCAATCTTCCTCTATTTTTGTATGAGGGATGCTGCCACAGCATGGCTTGATGAGCAGTGTGTAGGTCCGTGCTGGGGATCTGAACCTGCAAACCCTGGGCCACCAAAGCAGAGTGTGTGAACCCAACCTCTACGCCACTGGGCTGACCCATGTTTTTCATTTTTTTTAGTGCTTATCACTACCAGACATTTTAATTTTTAAATGCTGTTTATCATCTGTCTTCTTGCATTAGAACATGAGTACCGTGTGAACAAAATTCTTATTTGTTTTGTTCAACACTTTATGGCTAAGTTGTGTAGCAGTGCTTGTTATCTAGTCTTTATTCCATAAATATTTGCTCAATGCTTGAGCAAGAATGAAGATGTATAAAATTCATCTTTGATTTATGTGTGAATATATATGTATACACATGTAACATATGTATATATGTGTAATTATGTTACATAATACATTATTTTCTCAATATGTGAAAAACAAACTAAAACGAAGTTTGGTGATACATGTATTTAGCTAATGAGACAATGTAAAAGCACAGCAAGTTGTTAGGAAGTAGAATATTTTCTTATGAAGAAAACAAGAGATATTTGACAGTGAATTGATCCCACTATATTTACTATGTCACACATTGATATTCTATTCAAGTGTGAAGCAGAATCTAATTCCTGTTGTTCTTTTCTATGCTCTCTGTCCAAGTAAGTAAGTGGCATTTTGATTGAGAATTGAATCTATTTTTTTAATCGAAAATGTATGCTATCTAATGTGGCATCTCATGAAGTGAAAATATTTCTTACAGAGTATCCATGAGAAATGGATCGCCTAGTAGGATTGAAATAATCTTAGAGATCAAAAATAATGCAGCCAGGCAGAATGGATTCGCCTATATCCTTATGCCTAGAAAGTAATGTATGAGACCATACATGCCTAAATGTATGCATAGAAAAATGAATAAAATGGCTCAATAATAAAAAGCAATGAATTACTGATAGATAGAACACCATGAATGAATCTTAAAACATTATGCTGAATGAAAGTAGCCAGACATGAAAGAGTACACATTGTAACAATCCGTTGATACCAAGTTCTATAGCAGCTAATGTAATAACATACAAATTGAATTATGTGGGGGTTAAGTGAACTAACTGTGTTTTTGAAACATAAAAACAATCTGATGAATTGAGGGATGGATAAATGTGGAATAAAGGAAAAATAATAAAATATTTATTATAGAATCCAAGTAGCTGATTTGCTGTAGTAAACTCTTTGCTATAAAATGCTTTCAACTCTTTTTTATGTTTGAAAATTTTCATAATGAGATGTTAGAAAAGTATGTAGTAGAAAGACTGTAAGATTAAAAAAAGTAAAGGAGATGTCCTTAACTCTTAAAGATGTTTCTTTTTCTTCTTTTTTTTGGGAGGGGGGCGGGAATTAGGAAGATTGTCCCTGAGCTAACATCTGTGCCAATCTTCCTCTATTTTGTAAGTGGGACGCCACTACAGTATGGCTCAATGCTGGTGTGTAGGTCCACGCCTGGGATCTGAAGCTGCGAGTACCACGCAGCTGAAGCAGAGTATGTGAACTTAACTGCTATGCCACCAGGCCAGCCCCAAAGAATGTTTATTTTTAATTGCAGGGTTTAATATACACACATATGTATATATATATACAAACACACATTTACACACATGTACAAACATTGTGTGTATATGTGCGAATGGGTATACTTTTTTGTGTTTTCGAATTTTTTTCATTGAACCTATTCAACTTGTGGGATTAGATACAAATCTATGTAAAGATGAACGAAACAAAGAAGAAGTGTTAAAACGTCTTAATTACTTTTATATGATGAGAATGTTCTACAAAATTTAACTGCATATTTTCTTGGAATTCATACTCTAATTAAAAGTGATGTCACAAAGAGCTCCAAATTCTAATATACAGTCATCTTTTGGTCAAAATTTGAAAAGTGAATTCAAAATCTGTAATAATATCTTGCATAGCACACATAACATTTTCTGTACAGACAATCTTGAAACCTATATGTAGCCACTTCTTATGCTTGTAAGAGCTGGCTTAATTTACGTTTCTAACTCAGTTTAATTGAATTTTTAACTCAAATTGCTGTTGATTCCCTTTTTATAATTCAATATATACTGAAAAAATGGTGAGAGAAATCATAAATGAATAAATTTGTATGATTATCTATCATCTATCTAACTTCAAATCGAAATAATAGAAGTTATTTTTAGCGTAGAATCTGTTTTAAGTTTTATTTTTTAATACTTTATTTTCCAAGTCATTTGGTTCTGCAAGATGTTGCATTTAAGGTCATCTAGACTTAAGATCAGAAAGCAGGCAGGGCAGCATCCAACATTCTTATCGTAGAACTCTAAGCTGCTCAGAAAACACAGCCCTGGAAAAAGCTCCCCAGCTTGCCTGTGGCCCGCATGTAGCGTAAGGTGATGCGGCTGCCCGGTACTCACAGGTATGCAGCTTTTCCTTCCTCCAGTTCTTTACTTTTGCCGCTGGAGCCGCTTTTCTTCCCGCACATTCTCCTGGTGATGCACATCAATAAGCCACATTGTCGGATAAAGAAGCAGCTGACGTCGGTTACCACGAGGATTAACAAGAGCGCAGCAACTCCCAGGCCAATGACTGCTCCAAGCCCAAGACCATTAAAAAGTGTGTCTTAAAAAAGAAAGAAAAGAATTTTCTTAAACCCCAAATTAGGAAAGATTAGACAGTTAATTTAAAAATAAATCTTTAACTAAAGAGACAGGAGAAAAGTGATCGTCATTGGCCGACTTGAATTTCATGATTGTTGAGAGCCATTCTCTGGTTTTCAAACAATATTGGAAGCAACTGACATATTAATAATTTGAAATATTTTTTACAAACTTTCTTTAGAAAAAGCTCTTAAGCGACTCTTCCTTCCATTATACTTCTTGATTCCCTGTGGGGAAGATAATGAATATTATCGTATCCCTGACTATACTCTGTCAGAAAGTCACAGCCATTAATAGATCATCATATCGTCAAAAAGAAAATATAGTCAAAACTCCTGAAAGAGAAGTGCTAAATAAATGTTCTATATGGAATTATTTTAATTTTAAGCCTTAAACTTGCAAATGATGGCTCCAAGCGCTTTGATTTGACAGGGAATACATTTTAAAATCTGTCTAAGAATATTTTTAAAATTATCATTTTAGAATGAATGGTTTACTTGTATTTTTCCAGGTAATATTCTAACAAATCATATGAGATTGGAGACAAATTTTTACAGAGTTTTGATACTTATGACCTTTCTGAAGTGTATCTTGAGAAGGTAGGGGAAGATGGGAGCCACTTTTTCTTGGCATCTGGCTGTAGGAATTCCTGAAAATAATGCCCAAAGTATCCATTTCACTGTTTAAGTATGAAGAGGTGATTGGGAATAGGATGGAATATGCTGACTGACAAGGTAGAAATAGCAAGACAGGCTAGTGATGGCAAAAATGAATCAAGAGTTTTATGTCTGTAGTTGAAAATGAGGGTAAACTTCACAACTATAAAAGTATACACAGGAAAATAAAGACAATGAAAGAAACTAGATTAAATTGGTGATTCTGTGTTTTCCAAAGGGGAAAAAAGAGGATTATATAAGATAATTTTATAGAATTATTCAAAATGATTCCTAGTGCAATTATCTTAAAATTTGCTTATATGACATTGTAAAATTATGGCTATCATTTTTAATGATAAAATATATTTATTACTCAACATCATAATGGCACGGTAAGTATGTAACTAATGTGGAATGCAAGTGACAGGTACAGGGACAGATGGAAATTTAGGTTGACAAAACCACTTATGAAAAAATACATATGTAGAACAAAGTTTTTCTAAGTCATATTTTTCAAATTAGATGTAATATTTTAAAAATGACCTGAAAGAATTTCAATCCAAAGGAATTGATGTAACCGCTCTTATTCTGAACCGGCCACTAATGAGTTGGTCTTGAATTGCCACATTTGTCTGAATTCTAGTTTATTTTTCTGCAGAATGACTGAGTCTCATGTTTACATTTATTTTATTTCTTTCAGGAATATGTTATTTATTTTTCTTAATGCTCTCACAGCTTGCAGACAGATTGGTAAAAAATCATTCTATTTGTAACATGGTGGCCTGGCACTTTACTCAGGCAAATTTATGGTTCACTTGTGCTGGAACACGAATGTATTTCTATAGCGTCTGCATAAGGTTGCAAATGAGAATTCCTTATGCACTGAACCAACAAACTTGGAAACACATGCCCAAACAAAGCATAATTTTGACTATGATTCTTTTATTTCTGATAAAGAGAAACAGGTAATAAATACAGAGTAGTGTTGGAGGAAAAATAACTTTTTCATGCCATTTTCAGAATCTCTTTCCTTTATCCAATTTTAACATGCTACCAAGTTGGTGATGGTCTAAGAAAATTGGCTAGCTAATATCCAGAGAAATTACTAGTTTTCACACAACTAGTCTCTTATCACATGACTTCACTTGGGGGAAAGACGGAGAAACATAAGTATTTTTTAGCCATGAGAATTTAGTATCTTTCTTTAAAAAGTTCCAATATACAAATGGAGAATGAGATTCCAAATATTATTTGTCAATTTTCAAAGATATATCTATATGCAAGATTTAAAAAAAAAAACTAGTGCCTCATGCTTTAAAAATAATATATCATGCAAACTAAGATGTCTTTTAGCAGTTAAAAAATCATTTTATACATTTTCTTGCATTATCTACTTTCAAATACAAATGATTCTCATCTGAATCTACTCTTAGAATATAATGGCGACAACTCACCTATGAAACACCTTTTACTGTATATAAAGACAAATTTTTTTCAAAATTCATAGGTGATTATTGATGTACTGCACAAGATCCAACAGCCAGAGCTCAGAAAAAAATACATATCTGATCCAGCTTTAGCCCCGGGGAAATATTGACCCAAGGACATTTGTGCTTTAAACTAGTCACTCCTCTCCTACTGCATTTAGGTTCCTTTCACATGCAGACATCGTCCTAGGTAGTAAATCCCACAGACCAATGATAATATATCTGGTCCATTATATAAACCCCAATTTACCTCTTTTAAGTATGAAGAGTCTTGCTTTGTACCTAAACGCACTAGATCTGGTTCAGAAAATTCTGGTTCCATCACTTACTGTAGAATGTCCCTGAGTAAGTCAGCTATCTTCTCTAAGGCTGAGATGCCTCTTTATTAAAATGGGGACAGTTACATAGACAACCACGACCACAAACTCGGTCATGGAGGTGCTGGAAAGATTGTCATGAATATAATAATGTATTTTAACACCTCAATACTTACTGGCCGGCACTCGGTAAAAATTTAACAAGTATTGGAAATTATTGTTCTTCTTCTTCTTACTCTTTTGCTATCACAAAATTCTGGAGAAATGAAATTTTGGTGAAAAAAATAGACCGTCTAAAGTTAAATTCACCTATAATAATATTTCTTTCATCAGCAATCTACAGTATCACTTATGAAGCATTAATTATTCTCTTGAGAATATAGTCATTTTTTTTAATGACTTAGGTTTAGCTAGTTGGCTTTTAAATGATAAATATTTTATTTGTGACCTTTTTAGCATTAAACCAGTATATTGATCTGCTTCATTTCCATCTTTAGGAAAAGCTCTTAGAAACATTATATTTGTAAAGCTTCCTATTGTGGAGGAATATTGGTGTTAAAATAGTGATTACTTTTTTCTAGAAAGACAAAATTATACATTTTTAACTTATGATTAAAATTTTTGAAGCTTAGTCGAATTTCTTTTTATGAAAAACCGAATATATTTTTATCAAGGCAGAGGAGAGGCACAGACGTCACATAGGTTTACGCTATAAAGATTCAGTTAAGTAGTCTTTTGAAAGTTACGTTTTTTAAAAAGATTTCAGGTTTAGAATATATTTAAATGCTCATATCCCATGGGGTTAGGCTATAATAGTTATGAAAGTTAAATTTCCTACTTTTTAAATTTTTTTCTGCTGCCAATTTACTCTAGAGTGTAACGTTTACTCATTTGTCTTGGAATTTTTCACAAATGAAACCATAACCATATGTGAATGACATCACTAGGATTTGAGCAGTAGCAATGATTTATTTTCTCAATAACATACAGAAGTTGTGTATAACGTTTCTTTATAAGTTAATTATGGTTTTAATTATTTAACAAATTGCTACTGAGCATAATAATTATTTAAAGGATTTTAAATTCATCTTTTCTTTACTAGCTTTCCAGAATAGTTACACATGTGCTTTATGCTGTAATTTTTAAAACAACTCCATTATGTAGGAAAACGATATTATCAGGTCTATTTTACAGATAAGAAACTGAGGTCCAGAGAGGACAGTGACCTAAGTCACACAATAACCCTTGGTATTAAATCTGTATAAATGAAGCCTATTTAGTTTCAGGTTTTATATTATTTATACCTGGGTTAGAGTCATAATTTATATTGGATATTCGGCATCAAATAATCAAGACGGGAGTAAAATATAGTGAATAATTAAACCGTGTAATTTTCTTACAGAAAAATGTCAATATCCATTTTTACCCTATACGTCTAGTAGACGAACAGCTATTTAAATGAGATGCAATAATGTAAATTATTTATCTATGTATTCTTGCTTTTACCTCTCTTTTAGCAATCATTTCATACTGCTCTTTGGAAAAAGGGGATTTTATATTAGAATTGAATAAGAATAAATAATTTAGGAGTCAAAAAGTCCAAACATCTATGTTTTGGTACATATGCTATTATTGGAAGTGAAATGAGACTGACTTTCTATAATCTCCCACCTAGATGTACCTCCCACACTTAGAAATTGACTAAATCAAGAGTTTTCCCCAGACTTTCATGTATTTCTATTCGAATTGTCATGGAAACATAAAATCAAAGCATTAAAAAAGAGAAACCAACTTCATTTCAAGTTTGTCATCTGAGTGTCTTTTCATGTTTCTGTTGTAGAAACTCACTCACTGACGAAACACTGAATTAATTTTCCACGAAATTTATTCCATTTGATAACACTAGTTTTTCAAAAAAAAATTGCAGTGTGTTCATGAAAATAGCCTTATTTTTTGACTCCTTAAATATTTAAAAATTATATTTAACATTTTCAATGTGTATATATAATCTCAAAATAGATTGAGAATTACTTTCAGACCTGGAATGTTGTGATAAAAATATGAAGTAAGAAATTTCTTTTTTAGAGCCAGCCAGGTGGCACAGTAGTTAAGTGCGCACGTTCCACTTCTGCGGCCTGGGGTTTGCCGGATCGGATCCCGGGTGCGGACATGGCACTACTTGGCAAGCTATGCTGTGGTAGGCGTCCCACATATAAAGTAGAGGAAGACAGGCACGGATGTTAGCTCAGGGCCAGCCTTCTTCAGCAAAAAGAGGAGGATTGGCAACAGATGTTAGCTCAGGGCTAATCATCCTCAAAAAAAAAAAAAAATTCTTTTTTAATTTAAAGACTCCTAAAATAGAGATTTGATTATTGCTCCCAGAATGGTGGTAGCTGTTTTAATAAGAGATCTTGCTAAATAGAATAAGTAAGCAGTTTAAGGGTGGGAAGGACAACAAGAAGACATTCAAAAACCCTTTTTGGTGTTGACCATGACATTTCT